CATCTTGCAGCTTTTGTAGGACACTGTCATGAGGCCAAGTGTTCACTTAAACACTTTGCTGACTTTCTGATTGCTGTGCTTATTGCTTCACATTTTCCTCACTTCCTCCTCGTTCCCTTTTAATCAAAATTACCAGGTTCTGCACTGAATGGGAACTTCAGCTCCATGCTGTGCTCAGCTCAGCAGACGTGGGGCACTGCGCTCATTGATGCAGGGCTCTGGAGACCCTCTCTTCAGAGTGGTGTCCAAGTGACCCATGTCTGTACTGGCTGCAATTCTAATTCTGTACACGGGTGGTCCAGAAACTGGCTGTAATTCTAAAACCTCTCTACCCCTGAAACACTCTCCTAGCTGGTTTTGGAGGAAGCAGCTTTTCTTCCTCAGGTGACGACCTCAGGTGCATTCTGCATGGATGGATCTAGGATCTGTCTTGTGCGATGGCCTCAGTCCGTCCCATCTGCCTTTCTGCAGAGCCATAGCTTTGCTGGTTTGCAGGCAGATGACTGTAGTGGTCCTGTAGTGGTTCTTAGGAAGGCCCCGACATTCCCTACTGCAAGAGCAGATGGGTTTTTGTGGGCAATGTGAACTCAAGCTGGGAAGTGAAGCTCAGTGCAAATTAAATGTGATCGTAATGGCTCGTGGTGAATAGGAATGCACAACCAGCAAGGGACCCGTTGGCAAGTTTGCAGTGTTGCAAAAGACTGCTGGAAAGACTTACTTTATTCCTGGGTACGTGTGATTAGAGAGAGTAACCCAATGTTTTTAAGTTAGAAGACTTTGAGGAAAGGACTGCAATGATACCCTGAGGCATAGAAGTGTGCTGTAGCTGTAGGCATTTGCTCAGCACTGTGACTAATCTTCTGGAAACCAAAAGGAATTCCCTTAGAGGAGAATGCTGTGCGTCACCCACAGCCAAAAAAAGAGGGAGTCATGTGTTTCCTTGACAGCACATCATGTTTGCATATTTTTACTGCTGGAGGAGAGTCCTTCATCCTGATCACTGCATGTTTTCAAGTATTTTGAGTGTGCCTGGGGCGACAGGATATTAATTTCAATAGCTTTGTTTAAATAGATCATGTAAGTAATTGAGCCCATTAGTATTTTTAAGAGGGTTTCAGATTTAATCAGGGCCATTTTTGTCCAGTCAGTATAGTTATTCACATTACAGATTTCTTAACCACTATGTTTTAAAGCTGGTAGGTTAGAGCAGGCTGTCCAGGAACCAACAGGTTTATTTGGGAAATATGATTTTTCTACAACTTTATTCATGAGTTAATGTCTGCATAACATGGGTGAGGATGAAAGAATTTATGCTAAGGATATATGAAAAGAGCACTTAAGTGTCATATTGTAGACAGCAAGAGCTTGGACTTCAGTGTTGGCTTTTGGTAACTCTCCTTGCATTTTATTAGAGTTTTTTTTTTAAATTAGAGATCTTCCCTCCACCCCTTTCTCAGTTACTGATTTCATTCCCGTCTGCTTTGAAATCCTTGGTGAAAACAACAACTACAAACAAGAAATGAAGTTATGAGCTGCTCTCAGTGGTTTTAAGATTGCTGATGTAATGCTTAAATAAGAAGCCAGATTTCTTTTTGAAACATCAGACACCCAAAGCAGCAACCTTAAAAGAAGCTGCATTTCCAAGCTGACATTGCATCAAGTAGCACATACTAATGTTACTTGGATCTGCTGGACGAAATAGCAGTAAATAGCTGGTTATCAAAAGCAATTTTCTAGGTAGTGGACTGTAATCCAGTGGGCAGAGACAGCATCTGTGGTGGTGCTTTAAGGAAAGAAGGATCTTGCAACTGGTTGTATAAAGGCTGATATTTGCGTTTGCTGATTCCTTTTGACCCAGGAAAAATACCTGGTGTTACCTGAGGAGAAAAGAGTAAAGTACTGGGCAAACATTGATCTCTCAATTTGTAACAGTAGAGGAAGTCTTTTTCTCACCAGGAGTAAAACCAGTGTTGCTGCAAATCATGTACAACTTTGAACTGAGATTTGATTCTGGCCCTGCATATGCAGTACCTCTGCAGGATGTAAACCCTTTGTATGGGTTCTTCACCTCTGAACAAGAGCACAGCATCTCCGTTTATATAATGAAATAAAGTAAAAAGATTTCTGCTCCATGCTTCATTACTTGCTTCTGTGTGACCCTGTATACTTTGTTTTAATTAAACACATACCAGTTGAAAAAGTTCTTATGGGGCTTTAAAGGTGTAAATGGAAAGGAAGGTAGGTTTGTACAGTAAGATGATCATCTCTAATGAAAATGGTACTTCCATTTGGGACAGTCTACATGTTTCTTCTGAAGCTATTGAGTGTCAGATAAATCACAAATAACATTCTAGAAATAAATCAGTCAATTGGTAGAAGTATCCGCAGCCTTGATTGATTTGATTAAGTAATCAAAAAGTCTCTAGCTTGAAGAAAGACAAAAGTAATTTGCATAACAAAACCCACACTGTTGTCCAGCTTGCAGAAGGGAATGGCAGAATATTAGATTTTATTGTATGCACGCAGATTTCAAGCCATCTCTGCAGCAGCCCAGCTAGCTGTGAGTATCCTGGTTGCCTCCATGTGTGTGTTAGCCCACCTCCCTCTCACCCATCCCGTGTTTTTCTGAAGTGCACCGCAACAGGTGGGTCATCAAAAACAAAGGGGTGACTCCTGAATTCAGAGCCAGGTCTTGATTGTGGCTGCATTGCTACTGCCTGTGTTAATGGACTTTGTTCTCTAAGGTGCATCAGCCTTGGCTTCTTCTGAGTTGGACACAATCCTGCAGTGTTTTTTAAATGGAGGTGCCTTCTTTGCCTGGTGCGCATCCCATCTTTATTTTGTATGCTGGCAGAATTGCAAGGAAAATCATGTTTAAAAATACCTTGTATTGGCTTTGTACTTACCCGAAGTGCCTTCCAGTTCAGCTGAACTTTTGTGTGCAGCATAGTGTGTTCACCAAACAGTAATACAAAGTTGCATGTCCCCTGCTGCTCTAGTGGTTGGGCTTTAATGGAATACCTTTTTCATTTTCCTGATTATCCCATTGTTTTCTGAACCATCTCTACCCACTCTGTCTTAGTAATAATAGCCTCTACAGACTAGAAATCTGTTATCTGGGGCTATTTTATAATTCATTGGATGTAGGCTTTTTATGATGCCTTGAAGACATCTGTAAACTATAAGTCCATTAAAGTGAAAGCACATTTGTGTTTAGGGGTTAGGCCGTGTGTTTCCACCTGCAGTGGAAAGCAGTAGAAGGACAAGACTACAACTATGTTTTGCCAGCTGCTGTTACAGGATGGATGTAGATAATTAACATATAAGGTGCCAGTGGATGTTCAAGAATTATGCAATATTTCTGTGAAGTTTTGAAGGGCTAATAAAATTTTGTATTGTGTATCGTTTGGCAGACTTCTGTGTTGACTTTTCACTGTCTTGAATATAAGCTTTTAATATACTGTCTCTTTACTGTATATATCTACAGGGTGGTGAGAGTCATTTAAACAATATTTGTGTGCATCATTTGATTCTTCTATTACCATGGAAATGTGTTTGTATCCTTGGGTAAAGGAAATTATCCTCTGGAGTCAAAGGATAATATATTAAGTGACTGGTTTTAAGACTGGGTAAGGAAAGTCAGCAGTTGGAGTTGCAATACAGGTCTACTTCATGGGTAAAAAGCCTGCCAGCTTTCTGTAAGCCTGGCTTGGGGTAGTGTAGCGTGATGGCAGCTTCTACCTTTGTGGGAGGACTTAAGGGGATGACACCAGGATAGATGGGTTGAACCACCCTGGGACAGTGAGGTTCCTCTCTCATTTCATTAAACTATATAGTGAATCTAAATGCAGTTAGGCACCAAAGCTGTAGAGAGCTAAATTTTAGGTGGGCTGAATTTTAACTGTGACATCCTAAAGTAGATGCCCAGCTCTATAAGTAGAAGTGCTGTTGATCCCTTCTACTCTCTGGCCAAGGCAGCTGCTGTGGACCCTCGATGGCAAGTGCCCAGTGATGGAGAGGTGTGAGCTCTGGCCTTGCCAGTGCTGCATAGAGGGGAAGGATCACCTCCTTTGACCTGCTGGCAACGCTTTTCAGGTTCATACCCATACCGTGAGCCCTTCGGCTTGACAGGGATGCAACAAAATCTTTTCCTGAAATTTCTTAGCATGAAAAAGATTGGTCTTTCGCACTACATGCAAGTAACTGAATTTGAAGGAGGGTGGATGATTTCTAATTACTCATTAAAATCTCTATGAAAGATTAGATGTTATACAAGGTTCTCTTATATACCCCGATTTAGCTGTAATTTTACCTGTCTTACAGGGCAAAATCCTGCTTGAGTAACTCTAATAATCTTTTTGAAGTGAATGAAATTCAGTGTGCAGGATTTAGCCCCTAGAGGTAAACTTAGAAGAGATTCAGTAGGTGAAGAAATTTGGGGTTGAGCAGCAAAGGGCACTACAAGAATAATAACCATGGATTATCTCTCTACACTACTTTCAAACAGTGATGCTCATTTCCCTCATCTCTCCCTCAAATTTCTTTAGCTGTGTTGTCTTAATTACTGTACCTCATATATAATATTGTAAATCCCTGGGAATGACTGTCATGGGACTTGTAGAAACATGTTGATACTGAAGAACAAAGTTGACTAAAACCGATAAAAATGTCTAGAATATTTTTCCATGTTTGTCATTCAGAAGATCCTCTGGTGTTCATTTGGGGTATTAAAAGAGTAGTGATTAATGCAGTTTCTCTGTATGGTGAATTCAGATATACTTGTAATTTGGAAACCAAGATACCTGCTTGGGATCACTAATTCAAGGCAAACAAAGTAACACTGTCTCTGTTGCTTTGGTTTGTTATATTCTGAGCATGTCTTGTATCTCTTTATGAAGAGAGAAGATAAAAGGAGAGCTTCAGTTCTGCTGTTACTTGTGCTTCTGTAACACTTGCAATGGGGTGATTCATTCTTTTTTTCTCTCTGTTTTTTCTTACAGTATCAAGCTTTTGGCTGTGCAGGAGCTGGTTGACAGAGAAGCGCTAGAAAAGGTATTTAAAAATATCTCTAATACAACTGTCATAACACATTTAAGCTCTTAAAGCCCTCTGTGTTAGTCGTGCTTCCTAACTTCATGGAAAATCACGCAGCATAAAATAAGACATCTTCCTAGCTACATAATGCATGAAAGCAGAGGGGATATGTTTTGTCCAAGCTGACCACGTGTTTTTGGTGTTCTCTGATTTTACAACAAGCTTGGGGTAAGCAATGCTTAATAATAAGCAGTAAATAATAAAACCTGGTGTTGCTCTACAGCCAAGGTACTGCAAGCACAGCAGTACCCTGGAGGGCAGGTTTAGATCAGATATTGGGAAGAAATTCTTTACTGTGAGGGTGGTAAGGCACTGAAACCAGTTGCCCAGAGAAACTGTGGATGCCCCAACCCTGGAAGTGTTCAAGGCCAGGTTGAATAGGGCGCTGTGCAACCTGGTTTTGAAAGGCTAATATAACATGTGCATCTCAACCACTCATTGTGCAGAACAGGTCAATATTCACAAATTTTCATCGTTTGCAGCAGTCTGACTCTCTGGCACCTCACACCCTGTAGACTTCTCACCTTTCCATTGGACCGGTACCTCCTTTTGGCCCAATGCCTCCAGAAACATGGCCTGGTGAGGTCAAGTAACCTCAGCCTGGTGAGAATGGCTGTTTGAGGCATTGTCTGGAACTCTGCAGGAAGCTCTTCAGAAAGGCTCAGCCTCAGAAAAGTGATCTTTCTAAATTGAGCTCTCTGAATATTTGATATCCTCTTTCATACAATGCCAAGCTTAATGAATTTAAAAGGCCAGTTTAGCTCTCTGTAAAATAACAGGGTAGAATTATGTAAGTTCAAAGAAATTTGCTGTCTTTATTTTTTAAATACAGGAGGGGAAAAAGAACACAGACTAGAACAAAATTCCTTGTCCAGCCTGCTTTCAGAGTCAGGTTTTGAGAACATGTGCTGTCATGTTTTCTATTCTTACATCATTATTTATCAACATTGTGATGCCAGAATACATTATATATTAGGAATACAGAATATTATTAAGTGATAATATTTTAACATTCATTGTAAGATGGGTTTTTTCTGGGTTTTCTTTAAGAAAGCTATGAACATAATAACCTTAAAGCGTTTTTCCTATAGAATACTTTCCAGTCTATCATACATGGTTTTGAACTTTGGAAACTTCTTCTTATTTCTAAAATTTGATGCCCAGCTTTGAAAGTCTTGTTATATATTTTGAAACTTGCATGGAAACCCAGAGTGAGTAGAAGCCCACTGTTGAAGAGTAGTGCCCCCCTAAAAAGACCTACAGGCACACTGGTGTTCGTGCTGCAGATGAGCTCCATTAAATCAAACCACACTGAAGTTAAGTGCATTTGTAGTGAGTCTCTGGAGAACCAGGCCTTGAGACAGTGTCATAAAATTATCTGACCATGCATAGCACAGATGGACTGTCAGGTGAGGCACATGAAGCAGCAGACTGTCAGAGCAGGCTGCTTGAACCACTGGGGTCTTGAGAAGATGGGACCCCCTTGTGGAAAGACTTTCCCCTTTGGGAAAGCTTGCTGCTTTCCCAAATGTGTAGCAGAATGCTGCTGTGCTTCAAAAGCTGCATGTCATAGATTTGCTGGTTTCTTACTGCAAAAGGGTTTCATGCCATTCTGACTATCTTAGATACTTAAGTGTCTTTAAATGTTTTTCCCACCTTGACCATTGAAAATAGGCTGAACACACTGTGAAGAACTTTGTCTTGCAAAGACTCTATTTGTTTAATTTCTTAAACCCTAACGTTTTGGCAAATTGTGCCAAAATGAACCCTTTAAGCCAAGGATCTACCACACTTGGCGGCATTTATGCCTCGGGTTGCCAAGACAGAAGGTGTGATTGCCAGGGTTTAATTACAGCTCATCTTGGATTGGGACAAGTTTGATTGACCCTTGGATGCTGCTCATCAACTGGTTTGTTTTTCTGGGGAGCCATGGGTACCTGCAAGCACCACAGATGGAGATGCTGCTTGTGGAGCTGAACCCCAGCACCACACTTGCTGTTGTTAAGAGGAAAAAGAAAATAATTTATTTCAGTGAACTAGGTCACACAAGAGGAACGACAGTGTTTACCTAGTGAAAGTTCTGGGTCAGAGATGGGCTTGTTTGTGTTTGTTTTGGCCATAGCCCATCAGACCCATCCTGCCACAGACTCCCTGTGAGTGGTCTTACCAGCAGCTTAAAAGCAAGCACATACTTACCTGTATTTTGGCTTACCTTGAACCTTCAAATTGATCTGTTTGCTTCCCCCTGCCTCCTCACTGAGCTTGCCCCAGCTGCTGTGGGATTGTATTACTTGCATGCCTTCGATTTAGAAGGTTTGCTGCCATTTGCCAAGGGTAGTAAAGAACACAGATGGCGAGATGCCGCAGGAGAGCTTGCAGTCGTGCCAGCCTCATACCCACAAGGGTTCAAGGCCACTCAGGCTTTAGAAGGAAGTATCTCAGGCACGCAGGCTTGTTGGTGCTGAGATCTGTATGAAACATTGCTTCCCCTTCCAGAAGCATAGCTCTGGGAGAGACTCCCAGAGACACTCTTACCTCAGTGTGTTTTTGAGTACTTTACTTGATCTAATTTTGGGAAATCCTTAATTGCAAATGAAGAATTCTACTTGGCAATTGTTAATAGTATTTATTCGGGGAAGGGGAAAAAATAGTTCTCCTGAAGAACATGCTGTTTTTATAGTTGAAAAATAAATCTGTTTAAGTAATTAGCAGATTGAACTGCCTAGCCAGGTGACATTTCACGTCAGTTGCTGTTTTAGCATTTTAAATCTGTAGTCCTATTCCATAGGCAACAAGTACACCAAAACAATTGTTCTCATTTGTGCTTGATGCCAGTAGGTTGTGCAGGGTCATCCATCTTGTAAGAAAAATAAAAATATTCTTTGCATTCTGTCAGATGTTCCTCCTTGCACCTTTCAGATGTTAACAGGGGCTCTTGAGCTCATTTCTCCTTCACAGGCAGGTTATAGAGAAAAGTTAAATAATCTGTACAATTTAGTGATCCCTTTTGTAAGGTAAGCCTGCTTTGGGAACATTATTTTCCTATTTGTGTATTCATAAGTAAATGCATCTGCTGTTACTCAGGATGAGAAAAGACTGTCTACTTGACTGTAGACAGAGACATTTGTTGACTTCTTATCTAGGAAATGAAGGTCACTCTAATTAAACCTACGTCCTGAGGACCTCACTGCCCCTGTCCAAGCTCGCTCAGCCCTGGCAGATGAACCTTAGGATCGCCCTTGAGGAGAAAAGACAACGCAGAAAGAATCGTACCTTGCAGAATACACCACCTAAGGAGTCTTTCTGCTGTGCCTTTTGCAACCGGACGTGCCCATCTCATATTGGCCTTTTGAGCTACCAGCGCGCTTGTAACAAATGTGGGTAGAGCCCTCCCTAAATCTTCATTTGAGAAGCCTAGCCATGATATGATCTAGGAAATGTAAATCATGTGATTCAGAGCTACAGTTTGTAAAGTGTGGAATTCTTCAGCAAAGTGATGATTATTCTCCTTGAAGTCGGAGGTGATCTATCAGACTAGCTTGAGAGAAACACTGGGTGGGCTGAAGGATGATAGGAGTTGGGGTAAGAAATTTGATTTTGTTTAGGGGTGATCTTCTTGAAGTTGATCATAACTTGCAGCTTGAAAATCAGGGTAACATAAATTTTACTTTTAAGGTCTGCCTGTGACAGTGATGACAAATTTATGTGAGCTATGTCCAAGAGGTCAGTGAAAAGAAAGTGAAAAGAACAAAGTAATTACCAGTAGGCTTGCACTGTCTATATGGGGACTTTCACCTTCACTGGAGAAGTTTTGGAAGTCACAAATCAAGAGGGATTGAAAGTCTTTCACCTAGTACCTGTGGCTATGAAGTACAGGATGCATTCGCTGGGCACCAGAACAGGCAGTGATGTACCTTCTAGCCCTCTCAGCACAGGAAGGGATCTCTTCTGTCTGCTGGCCGAATCTTACTTGGTCATCCATTGTGCATCTCTGCTGGAGATGATAGAATCAGAAAACTCTGATCAACCTTCTCCTCCAGAGACTCCCCTGCCCCATATAAAGAGTGACTTCTCTTTCTTCAAAGAAAACACATTTACCTTGTTGCAAACAATGGAAAACTTAGCACTGTAAGCAAGCAATCTCTAAAATCTGTGCTCCTTTTTTGACATTTCCCACCTCCCTCAGAAGTACTAATGGCTGAAGTTGTCTCCCATGATGTGGAATCACTTTCCTGCATTTCCTCAGTTGTAGGAAAGACCAGATGTCTGTATTTGGGAGATATTTGCTAAATGCAGCCCTGTCCCGTCATGCAGAATTTTCATACTGTGCCTGAGGAATCATTGAACTACAACTGGTGTGATGCTGAGGGTGTTATTTTACTAAAAGAGGTTTAACATGCCTGCCATTGATCAGAAGTAGTTATTGCCTGAAGGAAAATGCATTGAGTACTGTTGCCCATTTTTACAGGGTAAGGCACAGGAGATGAGGACAAAATGGAGTGCTTGTTTCTTTCTAGTAGCATCACTCTGATAGTGCAGTTTCGGCTGCAGTCAAAAACAGGTTTGTAAAATGCTGAGCTGCCCTGTTCATTCCCTGCTGTAACCGCCTTCTTTCTACACAGTACATGGAGAATTTTAAGTAAAAATTTGCTTTTGTTTTCTTGATCCAGTGTACTGTTTCCTCCAGATATTATCAGAACATAAAAAGTGTGACGTCAATTGAGGTTCCAGAATTTCCAGTATGAAATGCATCTGCTGGAGGTTTTTATTTATCTTTTGTCTGCTTTTGAGTAGATTGAGCCAGATCAGTGTTTAATCATGATTAAGCCCATTGTAATCTCTGTTCTTTATAAAATCCCTCTCCAAGCAGAGCAGGTTGTTTATTTGTGAAAGGTTATCCGTAGGAGCTTTTCTGTGTTTGAAAGAGAGGTGCTGTTTTCCATTTGCAGGGATAACATCATTTCTTGCTTGCATGGATATAAATATGGTTATGTATGCATTTGATGTGA